TCCTCTCTGCCCCTCCTACTGGTCTGGATGAACGGGTCTACTTCAACTTCTTGGCTGTCCGACTTCCATTCAGATAAATTCTCTGTCAGTTCTGGGTGTTATTCTGCCTCTAAATTGTTGTTCTAATCTTGGTTGTGCATGGAGGTATCGTGCATCCCCTTATGCCTCCATCTTGCCGGAAGTCTAAATTCACTGTTTTTAACCATTTTAAAGTATACAAGTGAGTTCTTTAACTTACATTCACAATGTGTGCAAATACCACCACTATCTAATTCAGAAAACTTCTATCACTCCAAAAGAAAGCCCATGTTCCCCAATCCCTCTTCCTCCATTCCTTGGCAACCACTAAACTATTTTCTGTCTCTGTGGACCTGCCTGGTCTGGACATTTCATCTGAATGAGATCATGCAATAACACAATATATGGCCCTTTGTGCCTGGCTGCTTTCACTTAGCGTACTTTTACATAGGTTCATGCTGTAGCAAGCATATTACTTAATTCCTTTTTATGGATGAGTAATACTCCATTGCATGGCCTGTTAGTTACTCAGGCTGCTACAACAAAACACCACAGACTGGGTGGCTTAAACAACAGAAATTCATTTTCTCACAGTTATGGACGCTAGCAGTCCAAGATCCAGGTGTTGTCAGGGTTGGTTTGTGGTGAGACCTCTCTTCCTGGCTGTAGGCAGCTGCCTTTTTGCTGTGTCCTTTTGTCCCCTCTTTTTCGTGCATGCATACAAGGAGTACTCATGTCTCTTCTTCCTCTTATAAGGATACCAACCTGATAGGATTAGGGCCCCATTCTTAAATACCACCCCAAAGGCCCTATCTCCTTCACATGCATGTGTGAAACACATTCACATTGGCGGTAAGGGTTTAACCATATGAATCTTTTTTAAAGAATTTATTTATTTATTTTTAGAGAGGGGAAAGGAAGGAGAAAGAGAGGGAGAGAAACATCAATGTGTGGTTGCCTCTCACTCACCCTGCACCAGGGAACCTAGCCTGCAACCCAGGCATGTGCCCTGACTGGGAATTGAACCAGTGAGCTTTGGTTAGCAGGCCGGCACTCAATCCACTAAGCCACACCAGCCAGGGTCAACATATGAATTTTGAGGAGGACATAATTCAGCCCATAATGCACAATTCACCAAATTTTCTTTATCCATTCATCAGTTGGTAGACATTTGGGTTGGTTCCCCTTTTTGATCATTATGAATAATGCTGCTATGAACATTCATGCACAGGCTTTTTGTGGGTATGTGTTTTTGATTCTTTCAGTTATATACCTTTGAGTGGAACTGCTGTGTCAAATGGTAATTTATATTTAGCCTTTTGAGGACCTGCCAAACTGTTTCCAATGCAGCAACAGCTACACCACTTTATATATTCACTAGCAGTGTGTGAAGGTTCCAATAATCTCCGCATTCTCACCAACACTTGTACTGTCCTTTAAAATATGTACATCCATCCATCGTAGCAGGTATGACATGGTATCTGATTTTGGTTTGGTTTTGATTGGCATTTCCCTAATGAATCATGAACTTGAATATCTTTTCATGTACTTACTGGTTATTTGTATATCTTCTTTGGAGAAATGTCAATTCAAGTTATTTGCCCATTTTTTAAATTGGGTTGTTTGTCCTTTTGTTGTTGAATTGTAGTTCTTTATATATTGTGGCTGCTAGATTCTTATGAGTTGTATAATTTGTGCTTATTTGCTGCCATTCTGTGGGTGATTTTCTCACTTTTCTTGATAATGTTTTTGAAACAAAAAGTTTATTATTCTGATTAAGTCCAATTTATCTATTTTTTTCATCATTTGTGGACTTGGTGTCATATCTAAGAATCCACTCCACACCAAGCAATGAACCTACAGATGCAAATAGCTCAACAAACTCCAAGCAGAAGCAACATGAAGAAAACTACAAGACATAAGCTCATGCCAATCATGAAGATATACTCTAATGTTTTCTTCTCAGAGTTATATAGTTGTAGTTCTTAAATGTGTGTCTTTTTTTTGCATTTTTAGTTGATATTTTGTATATGGTGTCAAGTAAGGTCCCAACTTCATTCTTTTCCATGTGGCTATCTAGTTGTTCCTATACCATTTATTGAGGAAACTATTCTTTTCCACATTGAATGATCTTCACACTCTTGTTGAAGATCAATTGGTCATAGATGTGTGGGTTTATTTCTGGACTTCTGAATGTATCCTATGCCAGTATCACACTGTTTCAAATTATTGTAGCTTTGTGTTAAGTTTTAAAATCAGGAAGTGTGACTCCTCCAACTTTGTTCCTTTTCAATATTGTTTTGTATATTCAGGGTACCTTGAATTTCCATATGAATTTCAGGATGAGCTTGTCCATTTCTGCAAAAAAAGGCAGTCAGAATTTTGATAAGGATTGTACTCAACCTGTAGATCTATTTTGGGGGTGTTGCCAGCTTAAATGATATTACGTCTTTCATCCACAAACACAGACATCTTTCCATTTCTTTAGGCCTTCTCTAATTTCTTTTAATAATGCTTTGTAGGTTTCAATGTATAACTCTTGTACTGCCTTTGTTAAGTTTATTCCTAAGTGTTTTATTCTTCTTGATGCTATTATAAATGAATTGTTTTCTTGATCTCCCTTTCAATTGTTCATTGACAGAGGCTGGAAGAAATTTGAGAAGCATGATGGAGAAGGCATAAATTACCTTGAACAGATTTAGTAGAAATCTGGATTTGGAGGATGCTGTAGGGGATGGCTCCAAAGGAAATGAGGAACATTCTATTAGAACGTGGAGGAAGGGAGATGTTTGTTATTTGGTGGCAGAAAGATTAGTGAAATGGTCTCCAGTAATGTGAAAATCTGAACTTGTAAGTGATGATCTTGGTTATATATAGCTAAAGAGATTTCCAGTCAAAGTGTTGAGGTTGAGGTCTGATTTTTTTCTTGCTGCTTATAATAAAACATAAGATGAGAATGATAAATTGAGGGAAAAACTATTAAACATAAGGAAACCAGGACCTGATGAATTTGGAAATTCTCAGTGTCTCTAGATGGCAAAAGACTCTAAATGAAAGAAGGCTGTCAGACCTCCACAATTCTACTGGTAGGAATCAGCCTGGTAAATCTACACTAGCTGCAAACATGTGCTACCTTTCATGAGAAAGATGACTCAGGGTGAAACCAAGAGCCCAGACAGTGGAGCAGAGGGCTGAGAGGATTATTTCCAGGCCTTGAAACTTAATGAAGGAACTCCCAATAATTTTCCCAATTGGATTTCAGAATTTCATATGGATCCCTTTTTACTCTCCATCCCCCTCCCCTGCTTTTTTAACTGGAATGTCTATAACTGTTATCCTTTCTCTGGCCCACTGTTATATGTTGGATATGGAGTCAGATTAACTTTTCTCTAGGAGTGAAATGGTTAGATTACATAGTTAGATGTTTACATACCTGCGTACCTAACCTTTAGTTTCACAGGTCTGTGGATGGAAATGAATTGTGCCCCAATAACTTATTTAATGTATTACATCCAAGAAGTTCATTCATGGAAGGACCTGATTTAGATGATAAGATGTTTGGACTTCTGATTTAGGATGACTCTCTTGGGAACCCTAGGAGGGAGATGAATGTATTTTGCATGTGGGAGCACATGAATCACTGGGGACCGGTGGGAGGATTGTAGTGGGAAGACTCCAAGGTGGCGCCCCTATGATGCTCACCTCTTGGTGTTCACACCTTTGTGTAATTCCCTCTCTTTGAATGTGGGCAGATGGGCAGGACCTGTGACTTTTTTCAGAATAATAGGTGATGGTAAAAGTGAAGGGAAGTCACTCCCATGATCATGTTATATTATATAAGCTTCTGTCTTGCTAGCACACTAGTTCTCAGTCTTGCCAGTTTTGAAGAAGAAAACTGTCATGACTACTATAAGAAACTGAAACTTTCCAAGAACACACAAAAGGAGAAGTGGATCCTTTTTTACTATAGTTGAGCCTCTGCATGAGAACCCAGCCCTGGCCAACACCTTGATTGCAGCCTTTTAAGATCCCAAGTAGAGGACTACCCAAGCCATTCCTGGACTTTTGACCCACAAATCTGTGAGATAATATATATTGTTTGAAGCTGCTAAGTTTGTGATAATTTTTTGTGCAACACAGAAAACCAACACAAACAATTCTTGGAAAGTTAAATAAACATTTAACCATATAATCCAACTATTCCACTTGTAGAAATTTACCTAAGAGAAAAGGAAATATATTTCCAAAAAATTCTTGTACACTAGTGTTCATAACATCTTTACATGTAACAGTCCAATGCTGAAAACAATACAAATGTCCATCAACCAATAAATGGATAAATACATTATATAAGGAACAATGGAATACTCGGCAATACAAGGAATAAATTATTGACACACACAAGGACATGGATGAATCTCAAAACGGTCAAAATGAGTGAAAGAACTGATAGAAGAGTAAATGCCATATGATTCCATTTATATAAAATTATGCAAAACAAGAAATCCATAGTGACAGAAAGATGAGCTGCCACTTGGGGATGGTGGGTCAGGCAAGGGCAGGAGAGAGGGATCACAAAGGTCATTTTGAGGTGATGGATATGTTCACTAGATTGGCTTTTTTATGGTTTCATGGGTTTATACACAGGTCAATTTATCAAATTGTATACCTTAAATATGTATGATTTATTTTATATCCATTATTCTTCAATAAAGCAGTTTAAAGATGTATTTGCCACTTACACATTTTATTGTCACAAATAATTATATTCAAAGAGAAAGTATAATCTCCATCTAGTCACCACAGACTAGCCCTTGTTACTCATCTACTCATTCTCAAACACTTTCTAAATATCTCTTAGTTTCTGTGGGAAATATAAATACTAGTCCTTTGCACTAATGAAGCATGTAGTCTAACTGGCTGGTCAGTGCTTGGAAATCATAAACAACTGTCTTTTTATATTGTTTCACAAAGATCCTTACCAGAAGCAAATCCCTCCCAGTGAGTACGTGTCAACTGCTCCATGCAGCTCAGGACCTTGCTCCACACGTCGTCAAACACGTGAGCAAGGACATCCTCTGTCATGCAGTAAAATGGAGCGATGGGCGGATACCCTAATTTCTGTTTCTCTGTAGCTGCTTCTGCTTTCTTTCCATGAAACCCCTCTTCCCTGTAACAGAAGCAAGATGGAAAGACTTCATGGTTATTCTTCACTGAATGCTCACCACTGTCCTTTGTTCTTAGGAGTGTGACTTGTGCCCCTGCCCCCACCCCTTGCCTAGCATATGTAGCACATGCTTTAAGCTATCCTATGAACAAAGGGAGACTGCAGAGGAGACTGCATTTCCATTATTACCCCTACCCCACCCCACTACTCTGCCAAAAATAGAACAAGAAAAATAAGACTGAGAATCATTGTGATTTTTTAGCTTTAAACAGATAAGCATTGCCAATTGAGTAACAAGCTGTGACAAGCATACAGAAATCATCTTTTTTTGTTATAATTGGATAATTTATTTTTTTAATGATTTTATTTATTTATTTTTATAGAGGGGGGAAGGGAGGGAGAGAGGGAGAAAAACTTCGATTGGTTGTCTCTTGCATGTCCCCAACCAGGGATCTGGCCCACAACCCAGGCATGTGCCCTGACTGGGAATTGAACCAGTGAACTTTGGTTTGCAGGCCGGCACTTAACCAACTGAGCCACACCAACCAAGGCTGTAATTGGATAACATTTAGATTAATATTAATATCACACATTTAATGATGTGCACATTACTGTGATTATGCTCCATAATTATTTAAGGCAACGATTCATTAGAAAAACAGTTAACATAGATTATTAAAATACTTTTACTAATCCAAATAAACACTTGCCAATTGGCTGGAAATGAAAAAGAGGGAAACCCAACAGCACAGGAATCTACTCTGAGGCTCTTCTGGAGACTGTGTATCTGTAACTCCGAAACTCCCAGGTAGCCAGGTCTCTCTTCTCTGGCAGAGAGTACCAATAGCCCCACAATTCTGGGGGTGCGGTGGGGGGAACTAGCTGATGTGCTTACTATGACAGATGTATTCTAAACTAAGACAAAGCCAATTGTGGAACTGGCTTGGGGTAGGGAGAAAGATCTCTCAGCTTCTGTCTACAGTGACAGTTACCCCCGGGGCAGCAGAGGTCTCAGAACTAAACAGAAAACTGTTGGTGGAAAGAAGGGTGCCAGGAGATTTATGCAGGGCAATCAAAGCTCCTTTCCCAAGGAGAACATTTGGGGAAGGAAGTCTAATTAGTATTAATTATATTTAAATTTATATTTCTTTTTAGAGGAGATAACACATTCGCATGATGAACAATTCAAATTGTAGAAATGTATTCATGCGGTGAAAAATAAGCCTCCTACATCTCTTCCCCCAACGCCCATTCCCCAAAGTAAACATTATACATCAGTCCAGAGAAATAGTTACATTATACACTATACTGCATGGTGTTCCTTTATTTAACAATGTATTTTGGCCATGGATCCCTATCAGTACACATAAATCTGCCTCTTTTAAAAAACAGCTGCAGAGTATTCCACTGGATATATCCAGTATGTGTAATGCATCTAACTAGCTGTTATCGATCAACCAACTTTTTGCTCTTAGAGTCAATGCTGTAATTAATATCCTTGTACTTAGTTCTTTAGCTACATGGGTATTATATCTGCAGGGTGAATTCCTATAAATAGGATTATTATGTCAAAGGACCTATGCATTTCAATTTGAAAGATATTGCCTACTCTCCTCTAAAGAGATAGTGTAATTCTTCAGTTATAAAACAACATGTCTGTTTTCCCATTCAAGTAATTATCACACTACTTTTATTCCCTGCCTTATTGTCTGACAGATAAAATAGTATCTTATTATAGTATTAATTTGAATCCCCACTTGTGAATGAGACAATTTCATTTCATATATGGATTGGGCAAAAGTAGGTTTATAGTTGGGAGCACGTGAAACAGTTTATTCTTGTATTATTTATTAATTACTGTATCATTTTCCATGTGAACAACTTTAAATCTACTTCTGTCTCACCTTGTGTTTAAAGGCCATTTTCTTTTTATGTGAACTAAAAATCTAATTATGTGAACTATAAATCTAATTCATGTTCTTTGCCTGTTTAGTCCTTAGTGTTTTTATTATTGATGTGTACACATTAAGGAAAGTAGTCTTTGTGTATGTGTGAACTGCATATGTTTTTCCAGTCTGTCACCTGTCGTTTGACTTTTTATAGTTATTTTAAAGAATTTTTAAATGACTTGTATATTCTGTGTTATGGTTAGGAAGACCTTACCTATTCCCAAATTATTTTTATGTTTTATTTTTTTGTTTATTGACTATTTTTTTTGAGAGAGAGACAGAAAGACAGAGACATCAATTTGTTGCTCCACCTGTTCATGCACTCATCAGTTGTTTCCGGTATGTGCCCCGACGGGGGATCTAACCCACAGCCTTGGTGTATCAGGATGATGCTCTAATCAACTGAGTACCCAGCCAGATCAAATTATTTTTTAAAAACAATCTTTCATAATTTATTTTTTCCCTAAACTTATATGATTTCACTTGTCACATTTAAATTTCTTGTATGTATGAAATTTATATTATGTAAAGAATAAATTAGGAACCTTATTTTTTCCAGACAGTTTATCTATGTTGCACCAAAATCATTTGCTGAACCTACTGTATAAAATTAATTAATTAATAGAAAAAAATTAATTCATCTAAAAATGTTTACTGTCAAGAAGAGGCAAATGATATATGCGGGAAGAAAAAACATAAGGAAGTCCAGTAGGTAGAAGTAATAGGGATTTATATCAACTAAGCACATGAACTCTGGATACCTGAGAAGTAATAGAAAAGTAGTAACAAAAAGTGACATAAATCTAATTACAGGTAATGTTGGTAGCATACTTTAGAAAAAGTAGATACTAATACATCAAAGAGGAGAGGAGTAAATAGCTTAAAAGACATATAACTTACATATCTGTGTGGTCAAATGCTAGATATTCCTCTATTATCCCTTCAGAGAGGATTATACAGTCTTCCTCTTCTTTTCCCATAGAACACAGGCTAGGGGGTTTGGCAATGGAAGATGCTTTATGAACATAAGGACTTGAAAAATGTAACTTCTTTCCCCTGATGCCAAATCTGGAAGAGAAAAAAGGCAAATAATAATTACGTACAACATAAACAGTTCTCACAGCAACTCAGTCACACAAGTTTTAGCTTCAAGTCCTTGTCCTGGCGACACCTTCCTGTACTACCATAAACCTTAATGCCTATGAATCCTCAGAACAGGAAGAATAAATACTAGCCATACACTTACCTGCTTAGGTGTATTATGAAGTATTGAATACTGCTTGGTATCTTTTCAGTTGCAACAACTGTGGCTATAAAATAATTTATTTATTTATTTTTTGGATTTTATGTACTTATTTTTAGAGAGGGAAGGGAGGGAGATAGAGAGAGAGAGAGAAACATCAATGTGCGGTTGCTGGGGGTCATGGCCTGCAACCCAGGCATGTACCCTGACTGGGAATCGAACCTGCGACACTTTGGTTCGCAGCCCGCGCTCAATCCACTGAGCTACGCCAGCCAGGGCTATAAATTTTTTTTTAATCTAAGAATATTTACATTCATAATTGCATCTTTAAAGATACCTCAGGAGGTTATATGCTTATTTCCATAATTCCATCATTGTTCAAAATGCATGCTCCTTAGGGGCAGGGATCTTCTCTTACTTGTAATGTTTAAATTTCTCTTCAAGCCCGAGTATTCAATGGATATGTGATGACTTATTTATTTCAGCTGGCTTACATTGGCGAAAGTCAGTCAGATCTGAGCAATACAATTTTTTTAATGCAACAAAGAAAAGGTTTCTTAGTTGAGGAAGTATCACTATGTCCAGAGTCACAGGTGAGCAAATGATTAAAGACCTGGTTCTCTGGTGGCTTTCAGGGGATGGATTACATAGAGGAACACTCACTACTCATGGTGACTAAGGCATTTGGGGTCTTGGTCAAGATCATGGTCTCTACAGATTGGTAGAGGGTAGGAAGGAGGTAGTTAATCATTTGAGCAATACAAGTTTTAAAAATGGCTATTAGTTTAACTAAATATCAAATATAACCAAGTCATGTTATGTGTTATTCTTTATCCTTTTTTTATACCTTGGGTATTTTTTTAATGAAAAAAAAAAGAATAAATCTATGTTACTTTTTACCAAGGTTAGTGGTAAAATCTTATTGGAAGACATTTCAGAAATATATGTTTGAAGTCTTAAAATAAATATACCCATTAATTCAGTGATTCGGTTTGTAGGGATATCTTTCAAGGATATGCCTTACCAGGTTAAGCTATAAAAATTATCATCACAGAATTGATGATAGAAAGACAGAGACATCAATTGCTGAGGATTAAAGTTAGTCCAACAGTTTCAAAATACAGGTTTAGGTATTGATTGTTTAAATAATGGTATATTAATTCAATGGAACACTATACAGTCATTAAATTAATGCTGTAGGAGAAAACAGAAAGAGCCCAGAATAAAATGGTAAGGATTGTATAAAAAGATTACATAATATATACAGTAATTTCAAAAATTATATATATATATATGTGGCAGAAAATGCTAGATACCCCAACATCCATTCTCTCCTAGTAGATCATGTCAGTTTATTTCAGGAGAGCGACACCCACCTCAAAGGCTACATTTCCCACTACCTTGCAGCCAGATGTGGCCAATAAGATATGAGCAGAATTGTTACGTGGGATTTTGGAAAGGCTGTTTAAGGGGAACTTGTTTGGCTGTCAGGGTTGCCCTTTTGCCCTTTGCCTTTCCCTCTTTCTGCTACCCGGAATGTGAATGTAATATCTGGAACTCTGTGAGAAGTCTTGGGCCATAAAGAAAACGTCAGGGAAAACTTCCTTGGCTAGCATGGTGTAAAGGAAGAAAAAATTAGGATGGGCCTGGAACATCCTACTGTAACTAGAAAGCAAGGATATAGTGAAGACAACAACAAAGGAACTAGCTTGACATGGCCTAGCTGTAACAACAGAAACATCAATCATAATGGTTAATTAAAACATAAATATTTTGAAATGCTATGAGTTCATATGGTACTTGAGAGGAAATATCACACATGGACAAAGTAGTAGTTATGAAAGTAAATAGCATGAATTCTGTTTAATTTGTTACTGCTTTCCTTATGTAGTGGCATGCTAATATAAGCTGGACAATTTGTTTCATCTAAGTATATATCTGTGTACAGATAGGCATTTGTTTCATCTGTACAATAGTAAATAAAAGTAATTATTGAAAACTGTAAGTCAAGTAGTCCAGAAAAGAAAAGTGAAACTGAAAACAAGAAGGCTCAGCCAGCGGTGGGGTCCGCAGGCTGAGAGGGGAGGAAGGAGGTCTGCAGTGCGCTGCAGACGGAGGATCGGGCCCCTTGGGGGAGCGCACTGCTTAGACTTGGCTCTGTTCCCTTCGAGATGAAATCTCTGGATGAAGCTATTATTTATAGCTGTAAAATCAGAATGAGGTACATACATAAAGTTTATACTAACAGATCAGAAAAATGTATTTTAATGACAGCACATGAGTTAGGCAGTTTTTGTCAGTAAGAATTAATGAATACTTCATCTCTGTGGGACACATTAGTTGTAAAAATTTGAAAATTATATAAAGGGAAACTTTAAAAAGCAAGCTCAGCCTTGTGACCAGAAACTTAAGTTTATATCACTTTGAGAAAGGCAGACAATTCCTATATCTGATCAAAAGTCAGTTAGTTGATAACCCAGATCCCATAACCCTAACTGGCCTAAGACAGTATGTTTCGGTTGGTGGACTGATGAAATTACTACAGCAAAACAGCTAGCAAAAGTAAGTATTATGACAATTCTTAGATGGTATCAAATAGTGAATGAAACTACAGTCTTAGGGAAAAGTATAGGAATACTAAGAAATGAATTAAAACTATGATACTTTATGATATTTAAATGAATTAAACTATGGTAGGTTTAAGGGTAAGCATAGGTTTTGAAATAATCCTATTTGGGTATATTTTGCTGCTGTTTAAACAGTATGAGTTGCTCCAAAGAATTAGCCATTTTAACTAATACACTAATTACCCGTTAAGCTAAAAAACTAACAGCAGTTTAACTTCTATGAAGAGATTAAGTTGTAAATAATATTACATGGCACTTTTTATTTTATTTATTTATTTATTTATTTTTATACAGAGATGAAGGGAGGGAGAAAGAGATGGAGAGAAACATCAGTGTGTGGTTGCCTCTCATGCACCCCGCGCCAGGGAACCTGTCCCACAACCCAGGCATGTGCTCTGCCTGGGAATCGAACCAGCAACCCTTTGGTTTGCAGGCTGGTGCTCAATCCACTGAGCCACACCAGCCAGGGCTAGTATTACATGTTTAAGCAAAAATCACTTTTTCAAAAAAATTTTAAGGTCTATTTCTCAGACTCCTAAATTTCTTTAAACCAGACTATCTACCCATTTAGTCCAAGAGAGAACTTCCTGTATCTGTAGATAGATGAATATAGGTATAGATTACACACACACACACACACACACACACACACACACACACACCCCAAAAATATCCTTAAACCCTAGGGAATGTCTCACTTTTGGGAAAAAATTATATAACAATTCTTATATGCACAAAGACTATGGTCAGTCTTACAGAATTTGCTGTCCTTTATTAAATAAAAAAGTAGGAAGAAGTATTTTAATTCCTCAATATAACTAGTAGAACTTGGGCATTCAGATACATAAATACTTAGATATTAGAATACTTACATAGTAGAATCTCTTTCCTGAGACAGTGTTGCCTCATGTGAAACTGAAATAGCAGAAGGGGATCTGGGATACAGTCCATAACCTTCACTTGGAGTGATTATCTGCTTACCCAAAATCCTTCAAAGTGAACATAAAAAACAATTAACCACCCTTACCTGTCATAAACACAAAATGTGGGTATTTTTAGAACAAATTTGATAGCTCTACATAGAAGTCCAGTATATATTTAGTCTGATAACTGATTAAGAATGATTCTTAGAAAATGTGAATACAGAACCTTATTACAGATGTATGTCTCTTCCATAGGATAGACATGGAAAAAATTAAAGCTATTATAGCCCCTCCCCCCCAAAAAATCCAAAGAAACTGAGCAAACACTTGTAATTTTCCCTCCATCCTCTAAAATAATCTTCTTTAAACCTGTCAAAATGAGTGAAAGCCAAGCCAAAATAGTGAAAACCATGAATTGTATTCCTAAGAACAGGAAGCTTTATAAATTTTAAGTATATGTATTAAGTGCACTAATATGGTTTCTAAGGAAATATTTCTAACAGCTTATGTGTACTTTCAACTATATGTAAAAATTTCCCTGTCGATAAGAGTGTCAACAAGCACATTTTCTGACTGTGTTGTTCAAAAGAAGGGCTTTTGCACAGCCATGATACACAGATCCCAGCTAAGCACAGAAACTGTCTCACTGGTTCAGGGTGACATATTCATGGTTATGAAAACTCCGAGAAACTGCCAGCAACTGGAGTTTTCTTTCCATTGCAGCTTCACACTGCATGACCTTATTCACTCTCAAAGCCATGCCCAGAAAGATTCCAAATTCGAGTTTCTTTGGAAATCTGCTTTTCACATCTTTGTACTGGCCATGAATACCTGAGGTGAGGAAAACTGCATGTCCACTGTTGGCACTCCTCCTGTAGACTCTTGGTGTGTGCACTCAGCTTCTGCTCATACAGGAGCTCATCAATGGCTGTGAACATTGCCTGGACTTTCTCAGTGGCATTTTGATCAAGTTCCTAGAAGAAAATATTACCCCAAAGTATTTAGATGAACTTCAGTCTCTTAAAAATATTAAAGGTTGAAAGAAATCAGATTTTGTTTTGTTTTCAATATTCAGTCCATTTGAAATACTGTTGAATTTCCACAGAAGTTAGTGTTTTCAGATCTTAGAATATTCAGCTGTCCTCCCTATTTTTACTTAAAGAAAGCTTATGGAAAATTCTACTTTTTTAAAGTAACTTTTTTAAAGTAACATCGTAAAAATGCTGCATTATAATCATTTTGAAAAATCCAGAAAAGTATAATGAAGAAAATTACCAATAATTCTACCACTCAAGATAATGATTGCTAATGATTTCAGTATAGGTGTTTGATGATATTCCAGCAATTATTTAGAGCTTAAGGTAGACAGTCCAATGTGCATATTACTTTGTAGTCTGCATTTTTCACTTGGCAATTTAGGTGATGTCCTTGCCCTGTGTGACCTATCCTTCAGCAGCAGCCAAAGGGGTGGCTGTAACATGTGAATGTGGTCACATCATCATGCTCTCTGACTCTCTGCTTACTCTCTACTCCATCTGGATTCATGCACGTTATTATATGACAGTGTAAGAAAAGTTGTTCCTTCTTTTAAAAGTATAAGATGAAAGAATATGTATTTTCACTCTAAGAATGAAAGTCTGCTCCTATGTAATAAAAAAAAGGACTTCCTAGGTTAACTATGAATACAACACAAATATGTTTTTTAAAATTATTGTTTGAAAGCTCCTGAGGCATGAGATGAGATTTCCCTAGTCTCAGTGAACTTTGTTATTCTTTACTATTAAATCTACTGAAATATTTGCCTGTTATAACTTTTCCCATTCCTGCATTTTCAACATTCGGGAGTCTTTCCATTTTCACCATGTTTCTTTAAAGAGCATGAAACTGGATTTTTAAAATCTAATATCAGAGTCTTTATCCACTTGTAATTATTATAATGTGCAATATTTGGGCTTATTTCTCCCATTTATTTTTGTCTTCCATTTAACTTCCTTTTTTGTGTGTTTTTTTCCTCTGTTTCTTCTGTTACACTGAGTTTTCCTTATTCCCCCTATCAATTTGGAGGTTATTCATTATGTTTATATTCTTTTAGTAGTTACACTTAAAATTTTAGCATTCATACTCCCCTATTTTTCTAGCAAAGGCTAAAGTTTTTCAGTATTTCAGTCCTGCACTGAAACAAATCAAGAACCTTGATCATTTTTGTAATATACACATATATCAAATAATTATGTTGTATACCTAAAATTATACAATGTTACATGTCAATTATATCTCCATTTTAAAAAGAAAAATAAGAAGAACAAAGATATGAGACACATTGTGAGGAAAGAATCCACAGAACTGGATGACTAATTCAATAAGAGGTGGTTGTGAAAATGAATGCAGCCTTCTGTTTTGGGTGACAGAAAGGAAGATGCTAGTAACAACAGTGAACAGTTACCTAACAAAATATTCTTAACTGAGAAGATCTCAAAGATCCTTATACTAATTAACCATTCCCTATCATATCTTTTCTCATTCATTCACCTTTTTACTTTGACCTAATTTTAGACTTAGTATCATAACAATTGTGAAAACAGGAGAGGTGAACACTCAGGACTTCTCAGGAACACTCTCACCAGTGTTATTCACATCTTCAGACCCTATGGATCATGAAATCAATTCAAAATGTTCTGAAGTGATATAAAAAAGGAAATAGAATAAAGCAGAACAGAATGTAAGGTATCATAGTGATCACTCATAAAGGTTATTACTTTGTGGAACTCTGTCTTCTGTTTTATGTACACACACTGGTCACAATATCAACTAGTGTGACAATTTTAAAAGTTTGGAAGCCACTGATCTAGACCTTGTCCATCTTTCAAGTCTAACCCTTCCCACCTCCAGTTTATAAGATTAGAGTATCAACAGGAACAGAAAGGGGCATATGGGCATGAGACATTTTTCATCACTTTGACCATGAACAACAATCTGTGTAAAACAAAAAAAAATAATGACTCGATATGCTTTAACTTTTTTCTAAGCATCTTCATATTACTTTTATTGTGAATTGTATTAGTGTAGTTTTTAAAACATTAGATGTTATTGTTATTTAATAACTACTTAGATTTACCAAGTTCTTGGCACAGAGTTGCTGATTATATCTATATTCTCTTGGTCCTTTTGCTTTCTGTAGGGTCAATAGTTATTTCTAATTTGCTCTCATTTCTTTTCTGTGAGATTATTTATTTATTTACTTATTTATTTTTAGAGAGAGGGGAAGGGAGGGAGAAAGAGATGGAGTGAATTATCAATGTGCAGTTGCCTTCCACATACCCCCACTGGGGACCTGGCCCACAATCCAGACTTGTGCCCTGACTGGGAATTGAACCAGTGACCCTTTGGTTCACAGGCAGGCACTCAATCCACTGAGCCACACCAGCCAGGGATGCTTTCATTTCTAATTTTGTTCATTTGTGTCTTTTATTTCTAGGTCAAACTAACTAAAGATTTGTAAATTTTTTTGACTTTATTTCAAAGAGTCAACTTTTGACTTTATTGTTTCTGTTTCATTAATTTCTACTCTAATCTGTATTATTTTCTTCCTCTGCTTGCTTTAGATTTAGTTTGCTCTTCTTTTTGAGTTTCTAAAGGTGGAAACTTTTGCTGTTGATTTGAGACTTTTTTCTGTAGGCATTTTTCCTTTTTTAAATTGAGGTATAATTGAAATACATATATTAGTTTTAAGTGAACAACATAATGATTCAATATTTGTATATATTGCAAAATAATCATAAGTCTAGGTAACATCCATTACCACACAGTTACAATTTCTTTTCCTTGTCATGAGAACTTTTAAGATCTACTCTCTTAGTAACTATTATCAACTATAATCCAGCATGCAAAATATTTTCTGTTTTCCTTATAGATTCCTTCTTCAGACCATCAATAATTTAAAAGAGTATCATTTAGTTTCCAAATACAGGTATACTTCATTTTATTGTGCTTTGCTTTGTTGCGTTTCACAGCTACTGTTTTGTTTTTGTTTTTTTACAAATTGAAGGTTGTGGCAACCGTTTGTTGAGCAAGTGTATCAGTGCCATTTTTCCTACAGGCTCAGATAATAGGGGTTTATTTTTAGCAATAAAGTATTTTAAAACAAAGGTATATAAATATTTAGGCATAATACTATTGCACACTTAATAGACCAATGTATAGCATAAGCATAACTCTAATACATACTGGAAAACCCCAAAATTCATGAGACTCACTTTATTGTGGTGTTTTGAAACTGAATTTGCAGTATCTCCAAGGTATGCCTATATTGAAGATATCCAAATTTCTATCTGTTGTTAATTTCTAACTTAATTCTACTATGCTTGGCGAATATGCCTTGTATAATTTCAGTCCTTTTAGATTTACCAAATTTGATTTATGTGTGTTTGAAGAGTATATATTCTTGTCGTCGTCTGGTGAAATGTCAGGTCAAGTTGGTTGATAGTGTCGTTCAAGTCCTCAGTGTCCTTGCTGATTTTCAGTCTAGTCATTTTGAAGGCAGGGTATTGAATTCTCCAGCTATAATTGTGGCATTTTCTGTTAATGCTTTCAATTCTGTCAAGTTTTACTTCATGTACTTTAAGGCTTGGTTATTAGATGTATATACATTTATAATTGCTTTATTTTCCTGATGAATAGGTGTTTTTATCATTATGAAATGACTTTTTGTTTCTAGTAGTATTTTGTGCTAAAGTATATTTTGTTTGAGGTCAAATTCAAGGAGTTTTATGGCTGCCTTGGCTTTCTAAAAAAATTATTTTATTTTTTAATAATTTATCAGTGTGACATTGGTTAATAAAATTATATAGGTTTCAGGTGTACGATTCTATAAAATATCATCTATATTGCATTGTGTGTTCACCATACCAAGTTAAGTCTCCTTCCATCACCATTTATCCCCCCTCTTTTACCTTCCCCAATCCACCTTTCCCTCTAGAAATCACCACAGTGTTGTGTCTATGAGGGTTTTTTTTTCTTAATTCATTCACCTTTTTCACCCAGACCTACATCCCCATGCCTTCTGCAGCTGTCAGTCAATTCTCTATCTATGAGTCTGTTCCTATTTTGTTTGTTAGTTTATTTTGTACATTAGATTCCACATGTGAGTGAAATCATAAGGTACTTATCTTTCTCTAACTGGCTTATTTCTCTTATCATAATACTTCCCAGGTCCATCCATGCTGTTGCAAAGGGTAAGATTTCCTTCTTTTATATATATATATATATAGTTGAGTAGTATTCCATTGTGTAAATGTACCACAGCTTTTTTTATCCATTCATCTACTGATGGACCCTTGGGTTGCTTCCAAATCTGGCCTATTGTAAATAACACTGCAATGAAGATAGGGATGCATATATTCTTCTGAATTAGTGTTTCTGGTTTCTTCTCATATATTCCCAGAAGTGGAAACACTGGATTATAAGGCAGTTCCATTTTTAATTATTTGAGGAAATTCCATACTGCTTTCCACAGTGGCTGCACCAATCTGCATTCCTAAGAACAGTACAAGAAGTTTCCTTTTTCTCCACATCCTTGCCAACATTTGTTTGTTGACTTATTGATGACAGCCATTCTGACAGGTGTGAGGTGATATCTCATTGTGGTTTAGAATTGCATTTCTCTGGTGATTAGTAAAGCTGAGCATCTTTCCATATGTCTATTTGCCATCTATATGTCCTCATTGGAGAAGTGTCTATTCAGATCTTTTGATCATTTTTTAAAAACTGGAGTGTAGGTTTTTTTGGTGTTGAGTTTTGTAAGTTCTTTACAAATTTTGATATTAGCCCCTTATCAGATGTATCATTAGTGAATATGTTCTACTATCCAGGGGGTTGTCTTTTATTTTGTTGATGATTTTCTTTACTGTGTAAGAACTTTTTAGTTTGAAGTAGTCCTATTTGTTTAGCTTTTCTTTCCCTTGCCTGAAGTGATATA